ACACGCTAGAAAGTTCACGCCATGTGCCAACATTGTGAAATTTAAGTATACTGGGCCACTCTTATTTATGTCAAGATGACAAAGTTTGGCATGAAATTTTAAAATTTTAAATAAATAAAAGCCCAAATGTAAACAAATCAAACCATCACTCATAGAGGGTCACATCAAAACAATAAAAAATTGCTTCCAAACTTTTATTGACTAAAAACCCACGACAAATTTCCTTTTTTTTTTTTTTTGATAAAAGCAAATTACATTAACAAATTGCTGGAAATAGAGTTGCAAAGGAATCAAACCACTCGTGAGCTCTCGCGAGCCGACTCTATCAAAGTTTGACTTGATTTCAGTCAACATCAAGTTTGAGTCGAGCTAGAATCGATCAAATCTAATTATCGAACTCGAGTTGAGCATAAAGAAGTTCAGCTGCTTGATTCGAGCTCAGTCAAAGTCGAGCCCGAGTTGAGTTCGAGCTCCTCGATTGAGTCTGTGAGTCAAGCTCAAGTAGGGATATTATGTACTCGAGAGCTCATTGAGTTCTATTGAGTACTCGCTCTAATATTTAATTAATATTTTAAAAATAACTAAATAATTCCTTCAGTTGGAAATTCTTTGACGAGCTCGATCCAGTATTGACTCGATCTGCTACGAGTTGAGTTCGAGCTCAAGCAGTGTGTTTGAACATCGAGCTCGAGTTTGAGCATGGGAATACTCAAGTTAGATTTAACTCGATGTCACCCCTATTACAAAGCATCGCATGCGAGTCTGCATCAAGTAGAATACAAATCATTTAGGGGAAGAACCTTCACAAGATCAAAGAAGAAAAGGATGAAGAAGAATTGTATCAGTGATTTTGCAACTAATCAAGAAGTCGTAATCAAAATTTCATGAGTTTAAAGATTGCTTATCAGGACATCATGCCAACTATGTATTGATAGTATGGGAGTCATTTCAATTGTAGATTGATAGTGCATACATAAATGTGTTACAACAGGTTGGTGTACATGTTCGCATTTAAAATTTTTTCCTTCTAGGTTAAAAGAATATTTTAATGCTCTTGCTACTGCCAATATTAATGGCTCCTAATTCATATTTAGTAGCCTTTTAAAATATGGAAAATCATGGCAGATATGTTTAGAAGGTTAATGCAGTTTGACAAAAAAAAGGTAACTGTGTATTTAGGAAATACAAAACAAATCAACGTCTTTTCTTTGGAAAGTAAATATTCAAGATTAATTGGACAAAATAGAGGGAAATACGAGAAAATACAACAGTAACACATTAATCAATATAAAAATCAATAGAAGGAAGAAAAAAGTGCAAGAGGATCAGGAGAATGAAATTCTAAGTTACATTTGGAGTAAAATGTTATTCTTTATATTCTAATGATAATAAAAAAAAAAAAAAAACACTCTAGCAATCTTTATGATGATGAGTATGAGTTAGTGAAAAGCTAAACATGTTAAATAATTTGCTGGTATCACAGACTAAATAACATGGAATTGGGGCAGTATCGTTCTTGGGTTGGGTATGGTTATTGTACTTTATTCATAATTTAATGTATAACTTATATATGCAATTGTATTTATGCATTGAATTAATTTGCACGAATAAAATTTATGATTACAACAAACCGAACAAAGTTATGTAGGAAACTACCATATTATGTACAAAGTATAACAACTGAATAATTGTACAAAAATTCCAGTTGCACCTGCCCCTTCCTGGTCCAAACAACATAACTCCGTGAGATTAGCTGGTTCAGAGACTTGCTTTTCTTACTAGCAAAAATTTGTCTCATTGAGGAAGCTCTGTAAAGGTAGTTATAGGTAAGGGTTGTACAAAAATTTCAACTGTACCTGATCTTGGTCCAAACAACATAGCCCCACGGGAACAACTGGTTTAGGGATTTGCTTTTCTAACTAGCAAATGCACTGTCTCGTTATGGGATGCTCCATAAAGGTCGTTATAATGAAGGGTACGGTGTCTTAGTCGATTATTGATGTCAACCTCTAGCCATTCTATCCTAGGCAAAATACTGGAATAGTATATAGAACTAACCATTCAGCTTTAGCTTAGTGGCCTCGAACCTTATCTGTAGTAAAAAAAATTTAAAGGAGGTATTAGAGCACTCCTTTAGTTTAGTCATATTCTTATATCTGCTAACCCCTTATACACAGCTTCCTTAGGCTCCTTTCCCCCTAGATTAGGATGGATTATATTATAAAAATATTATTGTTGATGTAAATATATATATATATATATATATATGTATATATATAGAACTAGCATTTCGACAAATTCAGTTAGGCTTACTAGTTTTATTATGATAGTTAAAGAAAATGAGAATTAGCTACCAAAAACCTTATTCAAAAGATTTGCAAAGATGATACAATACTTCATTTAAGTCAAAGTGAACAAATCTCTACTTTTTGAGAGCTGGAAATGACATTCTTAGTTGAAAATGGTGAACGAATGGACTTAACTTAATTTGTATGAAATGAAAGTATTGGCATAAAAACATAAAATATATCCAGTATATTTTAGTAAGCATAACAACAACCTACAATTGTCCAATTTGAGAAACTTCCAGGTTAAAATTTACAGTTACAAATTTGATGAAGAAAGACATATGACTATCAATCAATGGTAAACATTCTCTCAAGTTAGATAAAAAACTTTAAAACCAAGCCTTAAGATTTTTAAAATTTTGTGGTTTGCTTTCACCTCCCTCCTACTATGAATATTTTGTGATTTACTATGAATGGTAAACCAAGCCTTCTTAATATTTTTAATATATACTAATTAGCATTTATATACTTCTATATTTGTACATAATTTGAACAATGTGAAGGAAATAATAATAAAGTTGATGAAATGGACAAAAACTTTAATCATGCTTTTAGGGTATTGAAATGTTTTTCCAAAATTAAACAAGCATTCCTCTTGTTAATAAGAGGGAACAAGAACAGCAAATGTAACAAACCAACAGAGGAGGGGAGTAGAGAGAGTGGAGAAAAGGAAGAAGAGAGAATCTAGAGAGAAATAAATGTAGTGTGTGCACTATTAGTGAAGCAAGAAAGCTTGCAATTTCTAGGCCACAAGAAAGAAATGTTAGAAAGAAAAGATAAGATTTTCATAACAAAAAAGAAGCATTGTTTCACAAAAACTGATGTTGCAATGTTGGGATATTTTTTTGTTAATGTTCATTATAGATAAAATTTTATCTGTTGGAAGAAGAATGTCTGGGAAAAATTTGTTATAGATAAAACTTTATCCTTTGGAAAGAGTCAAAACTCTATCCATTTAGGTAAAATATATTAATTAAAACAAAATTGGGTTGTGCTTAACTCACATATAGGATAGGGGTAAATCCACTAGTTTGTACTGGATTGGTCCAAGTCAACTTTCCTTTTGTGCACATGAGCCCACACTAGTTTTTAACTCACCACAAGCCCAATAAGAAGTTAAGTATAACTAGGAGGCATAAACGCGCTTTGCGCGATGGAAATGTAAAATGCCCTACCCAGTTTTGAAGTAACAAAAATAGTAATCTATAGAGAAAAAGTATGGTGATTATTAGTAAGTTTGAAAGGGATGAATCATTAAATATGTAGTTTATGGAGATAAGTGTCTTTAGTAACTTGTTTATACAAATTGCTATAACTAATTATTAGTTTAAAAAAAGGGACATCAAAGTAGCCAAAGAAACACTCCAAACATTTATTATCAAAGTTTTGATAAGTGCAACTAGTTGCTTAACACTCTTTGCCGTGTATTACTATCAAATATAACTTCAATACATGGAGATAAGAATAAGAGTTTTAAGAACATATGCACTTTATTTCTATACATAAATGAAATATGATATACAATGAATTGATTTTTAGTTCACTTAGTCCTGTTTGGAAGATAAATGTTCATTTGAATTGAGAGAAAGGAGTAGAGTAGAGCCAAATTGTCGTCTTGTTTCATTTCTTAGTTTAATGAACCGCAGAATCAAGAAAGGAAGGAAAAGGTGAATGAAGCAGAAAATCGGCTATGTGAATTCTTAGTGAACTACCCTAATGTAAAAAGGAACATAAAAGGGAGGCCCCTCCAAATTAAAGAGAAAAAAATAATGATCTTTTTGTGAGGCTAGAGGTTGTCTTTTTTCTTCTTCTTCCTTTTTTTAAATATATATATATATGTATAAAGAGTAGTTCTTATATCATATTACCCTACATGCATATGAACACAGATGTGGCTTCGTCCCACAGCTTCACCCAAGTGTCATGATACAAGTACTTGAGATCACTTACTTTTCCTTTAAGAATTTTTTTCTGCATAAATCTGTAGAGCTTTTAGATGATGTTGTTATCAGTAGCGAAGAGTGTTATGTAGCTGCTTGTGGTGTGGGATGTGTAGGTTGGAAAAACTTTGGCGACTAATTAGTGGTTTTGTGAATATTGCTAAAATAGAGTTAAATAACCTTACTTACCCTTTTCCTATGTAAATAGTTGCCCTCTTCCCATTTTATTCTTCTAGATTTTGCAATCAAATAGTCTTTTTCTTCAATGCTAGGTGATTAGTAGCTTATTATTTATTTCTTGTGGTAAAATTTGTGCATATCCGAGTTTGCACACTGATGATACTCTAAATTGTAATCCATCAAAGGAAGCAGATGAGATCCATTAAAACTTTTGTTAGTAGATTCTGTAACTAAGATCAAAGGCTTGGCCGACCTTTGTTTGATGGAGATCAAAAAGGGGTTATGGTAATTATAATAACCTTAGCCTTCTAGAACTCTGTCAAATAAAATGGACAATTCTTTGATAGACTTTCTAGGTGGAAACTTATGGGGCTAAGTGCATGTTTAAAGAAAAAATATCTGTAGTTGAGTTCTTTAACAATGATAACTACACATTAACTAAAAACGGCTACTGAAGCTATTTTCTAGAAAAAGGCTAAACAGATTAAAAGATTATAATAATAAATTTAACACTCAGTTGCGCTCCTAATCAGACTACATGAATACCTAACATAGAACAACAGATTCCTTCTTCTTAACTGCTCAGCCACATGATCACCCAGTTCAAGATTCTGCAGCAAAAAATCAGGAGGATAATCATAAACTGCATAAGTTTGAATCAAGAAAAGATAACTCCACCAGTGATAAATCTTGGCATTGATTTTCCTTCTTAACAAAACATAAATGTTAGTGAAGGCAACTTAACATTTCTATAGCTTCCAGTACAATACATATTCCGACCATGAGTTCCGTATCCCCCTGCATATGCCTCCTTGCATGTCCCATATTTTTAGAAACACAAAACCCTATAGCACAATAGTTAACACTAACTTCTCATTTGCTTTCAACATGTATTGAAAGTAAACATCATTCTTACCTGTGAGATTTTTAACTTCAGTTGTTATTGTAGTCAGAGAGGATACTGTACAAATAGTTTTTAACTGAAAGCACATCACCTGATAATAACGAAAAGACTTTCAAGTTGGCATCTAAGCACCAAAGTTGTTCAAAAACGGTATTTTAATAGGAAGTTTTTATCTGGCTCAAAATCTTTTACATCCAGTCATGCAAAGCATGAGTGTTGATCATGCCCAACACAACCAAAACACCAATATTGAATGTCAAACTCATGATTAGTCACATTTTTTCCCCAATTTAAGTTTCCAGTTTTGATTCCACTTATTAAATGCTGGGAAGTAGGTCTCAAGTAAGATCCCCGTTAGCTGGATAAGAGTGAATGAAAGAAGAGAAACATGCAAATTGGCCATACTTCAGTTGCATTTGTTTCAAATCTAAGACTTGATGCAACAAAAGTGCAAAATTTCAACCACCCACCCTTCATTTGTTTCACAAAAATCCCAGCTTTAATAGCATATAAGGAGTTTCAATTCTCTTCATTTCCTTTTCCAATTAAAACACAAGCAAGGATAAGGGCCATATGGTATCATCACCTATCCATTAGTCCCATCTACAACAATCCCAGGCGTCATACCTAAAATAGATCTAGTAGTACAAACTAAGTTGGGAGAGTCCAAGTCTTATTGCCTTAACAATGTTGTATAGCTATACATCATAGTACCAAAATTTACTATGTCCAGTCTGTTTGACCATTACCAAAACCAAACTACAAGAAAAGGGAGGTTACATGAGGCTGGAATAAGGAAAGAAAAAGTAGGATGCTGAGTGAAACTTACCACACAGTCAAAGCCCTTAGTTCCTTGGTCCGCTTAATAGATATGGAAGTGTGCATTATGAGAGAAAAGATAAACAAGGTGATGTAGTTCTAGATCTCTGCAGGCTAAGTTTCTTCCACCAATCCAAGTTTTCAGCCTCCCTTTGGCTGCATTCCTCAACAAGTTGGGTTTCAAAAGTACGTAGTTCAAAATGATCTTCATACATAGAAACAACAGATTCCATGTTCTGATGCAACCACTAGTGCAATGCCACCTGTCAGCAAAATAGATTTTCCCCGATGAAACTTTAGGTATTATTGTAAAAAAAAAAGTGCAGTAGGCGACATCCTCTATATTTCTAAGTAACTAGCAGTTGCATATGCCCTGTCTCATTGCCAATAGGCATTATATTACCATTCAAAACATCTCAGTAGGTAATAAGCATGTAGCTTTCCATACACATGGAGAGGCCATTCTTACCCAGATACGAAACCACAAATCAGTCATCATTCAGCCATTTATTAGTCGCACATAAATTATCAAGAAATTTTCTCATTAATCATCTCCACTAAAAGCTTGATCTCCTAACCTGTCACATAATCAGGTATACTATGTTGCTCTCTGCACAAGCATTAAGTATTGATTTCTTTCTTTAAATTCTCATTGATGTGATCTGTGTTCAAACCAATAAAAAGCTTTAATTCACCAGATAATAAAAAATTACATTCATTCACATTTTTTAAATGAAAAAGATGATTTTCCAAGCATATCTATTCTTAGCCTAAAAGGAATAATAGCTGAATAGCAATCATCAAAGTTTAAAACAAGCTTGGGCCATCTAGCGTATACAGCACAACATTTTCATCAATACAAAGAAGAAAGTTGTTAAAATCTACTGGAAGCTCCATTCACCCAACGTAGTCAAAGAAAAGATATTTCAACAGTGCTTAATAGCCATGTTGCTAGACAGTTGATCTACTTGGAATGCAGGGAATTAAAAGAATCCAATTTCTCAACTTTCCCCCAAGCAAATTATCAGCAACAAGGATCTCCATAAATGAATATGCATCAATGCCATAATGAAAATCATAAAAACAGAAATATTCCCTGATATTGATATTCCACCTGAGGAAAAAATAGAGCAAAAAAATTTCAAAATAAAAGTGAAGGGTAAGGGTCTGGAGATCTAGGGAGGAAAGGCAGTGAGAGATGCCGATGATGGCAAGGATTTTGCAGCGGAATTGAAAGTCTTCTCAATGGCTGAGAGAGGATCCAGAAAGAATGACCTTGAAATGGAGGGAGGCGGAAGGGGAATCCCAGGGCTCGTGGGAGAAAGAAAACCTATGATTTTGGGTGTAGAAGGAGTCGATAGAGGAGAGGGAGAAGGTGTGGTAGTGGAGGAGAAACGGTAAAAAAAGAAACGGCAAGGAAGACATATGCAATGGGTAATGAGGGATGCAAGGGTTGGAGGGGGATCCGACAAGGTTAAACTTGAAGTGGAGAGAGGCGTAGGGGAAATCCCAGGGCTGGTTGGAGAAAACGGACCTGTGATGCTGGGTAGAGAAGGAGCCGATAGAGGAAAGACTGTGTGCCAGCGGAAGAGGAGCGAACAGACAGAGTCTACAGATGTATCTAACCCTAGACAAAAGGAGAGAGAAATAGAGAGAGAAAAGAATACAGAAAACAGAATAGAGAGGAGAGAAGAGAAAACGGAATGTAGAAGAAAGAATTGGCCCGTGCAATGCGCCAAACAAACAAAAAATGACAGTCACGTGAGGACGATGAAATCACGTGCAGAACAACCAAACCTTTGGCTCTTTTATTACTTATGTAGATAAAATGATTGGAAGTCTTTTTAATTTTTCAATATGGGATAAAATCTTTTGAAATATAAAACTATTTATGACAATTTCCCTACTATTTCAAAAGCTTTTGGACAAAAGTATAAAAGATTTGCTAGATTTATTTTAGATCCATAGAATTAGTTTGGTGTCTTTTGGACTATGAACCAAATTTAGATATACAAAACATGACCTACAGAATTATTGGTGAAATACGAATTTCTATGAACCAACAACTCTTGATGCATGATAGAGATTTTATCAATTACATTGTCAATCACATTGTAACCCATAATTTGCTATTCAATATGGTGTTGCGCATTTAAGTCATGCACCTGCCTAGTTATTCATGAGAGTTCTAAAGTTTCAACTGAAAAATCTTATAGGTGTGACTCCACTCCACTCCACTCCACTCCATATAGGTGAATTCATTAAATGTATACTGCTTTAACTACACCATCCTAAAGGAATATGAATTCATTAAGAGTTATAAACTTAACCTTATGGTTACTAATAGTCAAAGCACTCATTTCAAAAAGGATTTAAATTTGAAGTGCTCTACAGTCAATATTTACTTGTTATTATCCATATGAACCTACTTTTTGGGATCTGCAATCACATAGGTTCGGTTACCATCTCTATTGATAACTTGTTGGTTTAAGTCCCATTTCTTTTTAGTTTGAAGAATTAATTTTCTTCCTACAAGTTTAATCAGAGGATTGGCCAAGTTCAATTCTGACTTTATATAATCAATGAAAATTATTCCATCTCTAAGCAGTTAATTTACGACATTATATCTCAATTTCTTTACAATTATAGGATTTGGTTTTAGCAATAGAAATCATCGCTTGACAATCACAGTGTATGAACATAGGAGGCAATGGACCTTAGTTGAAGAAATATTGGCTAAGAAATTTCTCAACCAATTGGCCTCAGATCCAGCTAGCTCTAGAGTTATAAACTCTGATTCCATAATTGATCTAGTAATGATTGTTTGTTTCGCTGATTTTCATACTATTGCACCATCATCAAGGGTAAATGTATAATCACTAGTAGATTTTGTCTCACTTGAATCAGAGATCTAATTAGTATTACAGTAACTCTCTAACACAGCAGAAAATCCACAATAGAGGATACCATAATTCATGATATCTTTCAATTATGTCATTAGTCTAATCAATGCAAACCAATACTCATGATTATGATTGTGAGTATACCTACTCAGTTTACATACATCATAAGCTATATCAGGTTTTGTAAAGTTAATTAAATACATTAGACTTCCAATAATCTGAACATATTTAGACTGAATAATTGGGTCACCATTATTTTTTTTAATTGAGTGTTACCATCATAAGCAGTTCTCACATATGTTACATCAAAATTTTTAAACTTTCTAAGAAATCCCTCTGTATAATGTTTTTGTGACAACATAATACCATCATCTCTCCTTATGACTTTAACACCTAATATCATTTTTTCTTCACCTTGATCTTTCTTATCAAAACTAGAAGACAAAAAATATTTAGTACTACTGACAACACTTGTATCAAATATAAGTATATCATCCACATATAAACTAATTATTATATATTGATTATTTAAAACTTTAGTATATACACATTTATCCACTTCTACACGTAAAATTTTGTCTCTTACCAAAACTTGATCAAATATCTCATGCCATTCTTTAGGAATTTGTTTTAGATCATAAAAAGATTTAACTAATTTACAAACCTTATTTTCTTGTCCAAACACAACACATCCTTTAGGTTGACTTACATAAATTTCTTTTTAAAAAAGTTGTTTTGGTATCCATCTAATAAACAAAGAATTTGTGAATAGAAGCCCAATCAAATAAAACACAAATAAAATAAAGTCTTTTTATTAGTGCAAATATCTCAAAATAGTCAATATTTTGTATTTGAGAAAATCCTTTTACTATTAAATGAGTTTTTTATTTTTCTAATGAGCCATCAGGATTATATTTTCTATTAAAATTCATTTGCATTTTATACAAGGCAGTAAATCTGCCAAAGCCTAGGTTTTATTTTTCATAATAGAATCAATTTCAATTTTAAATGTTTTTTTTCCAAAATTTTCGTTGGAAGAAGAAAATAGTATCAAAATAAGTTCAAGGATCATTATCAACAAGAAAAGTCTAAAAATCATTTTGATAAGAATTTTTTTTTCTCAACCTTTTATTTCTTCTCAATTCCTCATTGGAGAATATTTCTATATTTATTTCAATAGATGCATGAAAAATTTTGTTAGATAATGGAAAAATATATTCAAAGAATTCAACATTTTTTATCTCAATAATTGTGTTATAATTAAGGACATCATTTCTAAAAAAATTAAATTTATATGTAGCATTATGTTCAGCATATCCAATAAACATACAATCAGAAGTTTTAGAACCTAATTTTCTTTTCTTAGATTTAGGCAATAATATATTAGCAAGATACCCCACACTTTTAAAATTTTAAATTTGGTTTATGTGACGACCCCACCTCCCCCTAGGGCATATCCCAGGGTTTAGCGGACCGCCTGCCCAACTCTCGCCAGGACTCGCTCACTTATTTCAAATAAAATAAGCTATAACTTCAAAAGAAAAGGAAACAACAGTTCCCAATCTTAGAAAGTACATGTACATTCATTTCTATCTTAACCATTCATATATATCCAAATATAACAAGAAGTTCAAGTTCTAGTTGTACTTCTAACCCTAATCGAGCACTAGTGCTAGTAGAATTACAAACATTAAAAATCTAGACAAAACTAGCCTTTCCAACTTCACGCCTATGCTCGTACCCCCTGTAAGGAAAATAAAAGAAACTAATGGAGTGATCCAAACCTCAGTGAGGTTCCAAATAGCAAGTTGGCTATTATTTAAAACTTGAACTCTTAAAATGAGCGAGTATAAAAGTTCATAAAAAGAAATAATAACACGACAAATAACAATCATTTCAGAGTATAAAGATATGGATGGTTCTCAAGAGCCAAATTTCCGTTGCTTCACCAGAGCTTGATCAAGTAGTAGTTGGCACTCCGTCAATTTTCAAGTAAAGTAACCAGTCAAGTAGAGCATCACTTAACTACAATCTCCGTCCACCATTCAAACCCCCTACCAGACCCAAAATCCTTAATAAACATGGGTGGTAATACTCGAGCATATCGATTAGTCGAGAAGATAATACTCTACTCGACAAAACAAGAGACCCAGGGTTCGTTACCCAATCGACCAAACCCTTGCCGGCTCGACTCGAGTAACTCGCCACAGGGTTTCTAGAATTCCAGGGAGTGCGCACATCATACACAAGTATATCGAATTATTGAAACAATAAACAAGTATATATCACATTAGGGCAAGTGTGATAAAGTACACCCTTGTCTGACCAAACCAATCAAATATCAAGTATTTAAATCAAGTGTCACGTTGGAAAAGCATTTAAATCAAGTATCATGTTCAATCTTGTACTTGGAAGCACTCACCAAAGATTTAGTGTTTATCAAAATCACGTTCAGGTATAACTCCTTGGTTGGAGTCCAAATTTGCGATAAAATATCATTTAAGAGTTTGAAATCCACTAGGGTTCGAAACATAGGAGTTTCGTTTCAAAAAAATCAAGTAAATGAAACTTGTTTAAATAGTAGTCTATGGCTTATCAAACTCTAGAAAATTCATGTTCGCTTTTTTAGTTTCGATAAAGAAGAGATTTATACTTTGGAAGTCGCACTTGGTATGAAAAATCGAGAAAATTATATTTTTAAGGGTTGCTACTTTTACTTTTTAAAGGGTACGAGTTTTGGCAAAAATTTCAACTTATGCACCTCTTACTAAAGAAAACTCGAATACCATAAACAAGCGAAGTTCGCTTCAATCTCGAGTCGTCGCTTAAGTCTCAAGTTCACTCACCAAACTCTTGAGCAAAAATTTGGGCAGCATACCCTTTGTATTTAGCTATTTTTCATCCAAGTACAATTTGGATTCACAAGCCAACAACCTCCAATCCAACCACAAGTGATAACCACAATATACATCTATTCAAGGTCTCAAAACTAACCAAACAAACCAAATAATAACTTATCACCATGGACCAAAGCTGGAAACCAGTTTAAAGAAGAACTTATAAATGGCAGATTTGTCATCCTTTGGTATTTGGTCATAATTGTAGTTTGGTATATCGGATCAAGGTAAATTTTATGGCGTTTTGAAGCTAAGACATAAACCTATATTTCATATGAAGATATTAACACCCAATTCTGACATTTTCAGGGTAAAAAATGGATGGTCAGAAGCACATGAAAAACAGGTCAGGAAAATTAGAGGTTTTACGCAGTCAGGAGTGCTCTGGTCAAATCATAAGCTAAAATGATCCAATTGATCTGAAATTTTGTAGGTAGAAATTTAACTCAAATCCCTATAACTTTAATGTTTTGTCAAAAAGTTGATTCAGTCTAAAACATGGAGAAATTCGTAGCCCTAGTTGAGTCCAAAAACAGGGCAGAACTGAAATTCACCACCAAATGCTGGAATTTTGCATATCAACCCTAAAACTACTCATCAAAGTTGGAAATTGCTTGAAAAAGTTGAAATTTCATCTTTTAAGGCTAAATATCACAATCAAACCACTAATCATCTCACAAATTCCATTTCCAAGCTCAATACCAACATATTAGAGATAAACATCATAAATCAAAGCTGAAAAATCACAAACCCTAGCTGAAATTCGCTAATTTTCACCAAAACTACAGTATCATCCAACATAATTCAAGATTCAAGGCA